AATAAAGAAGTGGAAGCCATTCCTCATATCATACTGGCCATCAGACCGTTGGACTGACCAGCCAACTGAGATACCAGCCAACTGAGATTGAAAATATTATACTGTAAATAAAAGTAGGTAAATATATATTTTATATAAAAATATTGTATATGCTATTGGGTAGAATTTGATAAAAAATAACTTCGGAGGTTTAGGCCAATTTTATACCAGCAAACCTTTAATTCGGTTGTGCTCCAACACGAGCATTTTGTAAATTTACTCCATCGGGTTGAAAGTATTTTATTTTAAAAAAAATATTTTATTTGAACATTAAATTTCAATAAAATATTTATTGCATTTTAAGTTGGAGTAGTAGCTGTTTTTTATTTTAGATAGAAATTTGGGAAATTTATTCCTTACATTAAAAATATTGAAAAATTTCCGATGTATTTTATGTTTTGTAGTGCAAGCGTTGGGCTATCTGAAAGAGAATGTCCCACATTGAAGAGATGTGGGATAAGAATGGCACATATAAGTTACTTGTATACACCTATACGTACGAGTTGAGTGGCATGGCCATGTGTGATGTGTAAGAAGGCTACACCATGTGGGGTATAATTATTATGTAGGATGTTTTATTAAAAAATTGGCTGACACAACAGGAGCAGGGTGGGTGCGTGACATTATGTGACGTCAGTAGCGCATTTCAATGTTTTATTAATAATAAAATAATTGGCTGACGCGGCAAGAGCAGGTTAGCAGCAAAGTTCAAGGTTTTATTAATAATAAAATAATACTGATCCACATCCCGTTTTTTCATTAAAACCGGAACGACTTGGGCGATACCGGATCCAGATCGCCCAATTCCGGATCAGATCACCGATTTTTTAACCACTGGTCTAAGGCATTCATGGACAAATAATAAGAAGGGTACAAAAAACATTAAAGCCATATTGGACAGATGTGGAACAAGAATATCTTTGGAAATGTGGATAGGAATGCTGTGATGGCAATGGTTGAACTAGGTGATATCCAGGAATTACAAGAAGTGGTTGGGGCCAATTCTATGATTGATGAGCTGGAACGTCTGGCAAAAACGAAGGTCCACAATGCTCTTGCAATTCAGGAAAATTTCTGGGCTTCCAAGTCTAGAGTTAGATGGCTACAATTGGGTGATAGAAATACAAAATACTTCCACTCAATGGAAAAAATTCAAAAATCGAAAATTTTATTCGATTTCTGAAGACTGAATCAAACTAGGAATTGGGCGATCTTAACTCTATTGGCTCTTATTGTGAGGAATTCTATAAAATAATTTTCAAAGCAAAAAGTTGTTCCATGAATAATGATCTCTTTAACCTCATTCCAAATATGGTAGACCTGGCGGATAATAGCTTCCTCGAAGTTGTTCCTTCGCCCTCGGAAATAAAGGATATTGTTTTTCAAATGGATGCCTTTAGTTCACCTGGTCCAGATGGGTTTGGTGGAATTTTTTACAAGCATTGTTGGGAGATTATGAAGTATGATGTTTGTCGGGCTGTAGAAGCTTTGTCATTGATGGATGTATTCCTAAGGGCTACAACAATAATTTCATCACGTTAATCCCCAAGGAACAAAGTGCAGATATATTATCTAAATTTCAGCCAATCTGTATGGGGAATTTTATTTTTAAGATTATTCCCAAAATTCTAGCCAACAAGTTGAGAGTAATTTGCTCCAAAGCTTATATCGGAAGAACAAGGTGCTTTCCTCAAAGGCAAACAAATATCTTCAAATATTTGCATGGCTTCGGAACTGCTAAACTCTTTTCCAAAAAAGCTTCATGGTGGACATTGTGGGCTGAAGATTGATTTTCAAAAAGCATAGGATTCACTTGAATGGCCTTTCCTTCTTGAAGTACTAAACAAGTTTGGGTTTATAGCGAAATTTGTGTCTTGGGTAAAGCAAATTCTGCATTCAGCTAACATTTCGGTTCTGGTAAATGGTGGACCTTTTGGGCAGATGATCCTCTAGCACCTCTTCTGTTTATTCTAGTAGAAGAGGTTTCAAGTAAAGGAATTGCTAATATGGTTCAAAAGAAAATGATATTTGAATGGGCCTAGAGGTGTGGTTGTACCCTCACATCTTATGTTTGCATATGATGTCTTTATTTTTGTGAAAGCAGACTATCGTCAGCTGAAAAGATTGAAGGATTTTCTTTTGAATTTCCAAGGGGCTTCAGGTTTAAAAATAAATTTTTCCAAATCAGAGTTATTTTGGGGGTCGATCCCTCAATCCAAACAATATGTTATCAAAAGATTGTTGGGTTTCTATTGGATGCTTACCTCTCAAATACTTAGGTGTGCCGATTTTTTTAGGAGCCCCAGAGCAAGATTATTGAGACCTCTACTAGAAAGGATTCGTGATAAATTATTGAGTTGGAAAGGTAAGATTTTAAGTTTCGCAGGAAGGATTCAACTGACGCATTATGTTATTGCGAGTATGCCTATTCATTCCTTTGCAATCTATCAATGGCTAGCAAATCTGATAAAAGAGATGGAAACACAGATGAGGAACTTTATTTGGACTGGGAATCATGAGTTATCAAAAGAATAACAGTCTCTTGGGACAAAGTTTGTAAACCTATCAAAGAAGGTAGCTTGGGATTAAGAAGGCTAAGAGATGTTAATTTCTCTATTTTGATGAAATTGGCCCAGAATGTTTTAAACAGGAATGCAACTTGGCGAAAGTTCATTTTTGCTAAATATTTCAAGGAGGATACTTCTATGAGATCGACACCGCATGTTTCTTCTGTGAGGCCTGGTTTATTAAAAGTATGGCCGAAATTACTTTCAAGATGTAGGTGGATAATTGGAAATGTCTCATCTATTGATTTTTGGAAGGATGTGTGGGTAGGAAATACATCACTTGCCTCTCAATCAGGTCTTCTATTGTCAGCATTCAAGAACTCAAAAGCAAGGGTGTCACATTTCATCTCAGGTAACCCTCAAGCATGGTGTTTTCCTATGGTTCATTCTACAATTTTAAATGAATTTTTAAGAGCTGCATTTGGAATTGATTTGCCCCACGCCCCTATACCGGATCAAAGAATTTGGAAACATACTATCTCTGGTAAGTGCATCCATCCCAGAGTTTCCTTGATGAGTTGGAAAGTTGTAAACAATGCCATTGCTATTGATGAAAAAATCATGTCTATTGGAGAGATTTGAAAGCAAAGTCTGTGAGTGATTTACTACTCATAAGAAGGCTTGGTATAACCCAAAATCCAAGGAAAGATCCTTTGATTTTGGAGGTGGTATGGCTTCCACCTGTGTCTAGATGTGTCAAACTCAATATAGATGGATGCTCTAAGGGGAATCCAGGAAGGTCGGGCTTTGGAGGTATATTAAGAGATTCGTGCTTGGTTCTTTTTCAGGACCTATTCCTATGGGAACAAATTATCTCGTGGAGCTTAATGCATTTATTTATGGTGTGGAATATATCATTACAAAAGGTTTCACAAATGTCTGGATTGAATGTGACGCTTTTGGTATTATTTTGGCCAAAAGATCCAATTTGGTACCTTGGTGTGTTCAAACCAAATGGAAAAATGTAATTGCTTCGTTAAACAAAATCACATGGAAAATTCCACATGTGCATAGGGAAGCAAATACCGCAGCAGACAAAATGGAGAATATTGGTTGCCATATGACTTCATACCAGGAGTGGGATACATACCCAAATTCTGTTGGATATCATATCTCATGGGATGCAACTGGAAGACCGAGATACAGATTTAAGTATTGGATTATATGATGAAAAATCATGGTCATTGATTTCTCGTGTGGTTATAAAATTATCTTGTAGATTTGATCATGAGCGTGAGTTAAGACTGTTTTTGTCAGGACTACAGTCCTAATCGCTAATGGCTATGCCGTAGGCGATAATATCTGGGAGTTTGTTTTCGATTACTCAATTACAATGCAAACCACCCTCTGTATCTTTTATTTTATTTTATTTTAATGAAAATTGCTTACTTCTACCAAAAACAAATGTGACTTATTTTGCCTTGAAGAAACATTAGCCATCCAGTTAATTCTTTAACCCTGGACAATGTTGTTTATACAGATGTGCACATAGTAGATCCAATCCTTTATGGTCAATTATCACACTACATATCAAGGAAGCCAAGGCAGGATAACATCCACTATCAAAGATCTGTACAAATTTACTATGAATTACTATGGAAATATGGAAACCATACTAATATTGCAAAGTATTTCTCCTAGAATTACTGTACAAATTTACAATGAATTTGTGCCATTATAGATACGATAAGTAAGATCTCACCAGTAAAAACAAAACAATTGCACAATAAGAAGCCCAAAAATTTTGACAACCTTTCCCCAAATAGTTGGGATAAGGCTCGGATGATGATGATGGTGATGAATATTGAAACCAACACTAGTATAGATAACTAGCAAACAATACACAAATAAGCACATACAAATAGATGCATAAATATGTGTATGCATTCATGCAAGCATGATCCACATAACAGTTATTGAAAAGGTAAGAACGATGGACTAATACACAGGATAAGGCAATATAACAATTATGAGCATATGACCAAATCATATTCAAAGATAGATGCATAACTAAACCATAGACATAAACTATAACACTCACCAACTAATTGATGAGGAGGAAACCAATTGCAAGCATACTTTCAAAGTAAAATCTAGAAGGACTAATCGATGAGGAGGAAACCAATCGCAAGCATACTTTCAAAGTAAAATCTAGAAGGACTTTATCTGTGGGAATGTGAATCTCATGACAAGCAATTCTCAAAGAGTGTGATGATGAGGAACCCTCCGAAAATTCCAGTGGAATTGGCAATCATAGGGAAGACTGTGAAAAGGTTATAAGTTCCCAGTCCTTTGAGTGCTTTATCCTAAAAAAGATAAAGGTTACTGCCTGAAGAAGAACAAAGAATAGCAATTTCGACTACAAAATGAAACAACTAAAATTGTAATGTTTACCATATCAAAGTCAAGTGGATTTCCTGATGCTTCACTTCCACGAGAAAGCTCAGCAACACTACGAAATGTGCTCTCAGAGCATTTCTGCCCACTGTGTGAACCTGAAGTGCTTGCCTTGCCAAGAAATAAAGAAGTTTAAGACACTCAATAAAGTCCCCCCAACAACCTCAAATCACACTAAATAAGAACTCCATCAAGAATGAGCTCCAACAACATCTAAACAAAATTAAACTTTCACTCCAATAAGAACAATATATCATCATAAGGACAACATACCATGGAAGTGGTCCTTCCTTCTTCACTGCCAAATGACAAGCCTCGAATGGGCTTTTCAAAATAATCCCTCGTGCAGAAAGAGCATTTTCTTGATTGAGATGAGCAAAAGTTTTCTACATAAGATTCTTTTTATTAAGGACAATTAAATGCTATCTGTGAATATATTTCCATGATTTGATACCTACAGATTATGTGTCAAGTCAAACAGATTAAGAATTTAAAATGTAGAAAAAAATCTCTTTCAACAAGAATCTGACCTTCTGCTTTTCACTATGAATCCGCAACAAGTCATTGAACTTCTTAACAGGGAAAACATCATCAACACGAGTATCAATGTATCTTGGTGTCTTTGTTGACTCTGCTTTCTTTTGCCCATGGCGTATTTCACTAATGTGCCCAAAAAACACAAGTCACAATAAATTTCTTTGGACAGATTTGACATCCAGAATGCCTGAAGAAGATAACATTCATGTTTACCAATCACCACCAAAAAGAGGAGAGGAAGATCCCTCTACAGGATCTCCAAATTGCTTCCGCTTCAACTGCTCCCCCTATAAAAGAGGAGATAAGCCAATAAGGAAACATAGTCATTACAACCTTAATAGGAAATGCAACGAAATATGTGGAATAATCACAGGAAACTAACACCTTCTACAGAGCAAAGTCACCAAACAAAAATCCATTTCAAATAAGCTGAAACAACATATATGAACTGACAAATCAAGAACAGATATTTGAAACAAACCCAACTCAAAGAATGAACACGACATGTGCAATCCAGCACATCAACAAATGGAAGTTCCAAAGTGAGCACAACAATATGTCAAGAGAATAGATATAAGAAGATAAACAGATGAAAAATAGCCTAAGAGAATAAGCAAAGGGAGAACTCGATGGACTTTTAAAGGTAGAGAAGACACAAACATAAACATATTGTGGATTAAAGAAAACAGATAGCATGAGATACCACAAACTTGTAACATTCTACCGTGCATGCAGGCTAGTATATCAAAAGCATAACAAGAAGGTTTTTTTCGAATTACCAAGATGCAGGACAAATATAATGACCAACAAATTAGTTTGCATTCCCACAACATTGATACATAATTGATAATCACTCTAAGCATATAAATTCATTGTATATATGTATGTACTATGTAAGTACCCTCTCTCTCTCTCTC